TTTATGGGTAGCATCCCATCCTCCTTCAGTGCTTTGAAGAGTCTTCATTACCTTGACCTTTCAAGAAATAATTTTTCTGGACAAATTCCAAAATACTTCCAAAATCTCACTCTTTTACAATATTTGAATTTGTCTTTCAACAAATTTGAAGGAGAGGTTCCAAATGAAGGGGTCTTTGGAAATGCAAATGCAGTTTCAGTTGTTGGAAACCAACACCTCTGTGGAGGCATTCAGAAGCTCGGACTCTCTCCATGTAAGGTCCAAGGCCTAAAGAAGAACAAAAGGTCTCACAATCTTAAAATTATGATTCCAATTGTCTCCTGCTCGATCTTATTAGTAATGTCTCTGTTTCTGATTATTTTTACTTGGGCAAGGAGATCTAAGAGGAAAGCCTCTTCCATGTTGCAAACACAAGAACCATTTCCAAAGATTTCTTATGCAGAGTTAAGTCAAGCAACTAATGACTTCTCATCAACCAACTTGATTGGTGAAGGAAGTTTTGGCTCTGTTTATAAAGGAATCATGGGTGAAAATGGAATGTTAGTTGCAGTGAAAGTGCTGAACCTTAAGCAAAAAGGAGCATCCAAGAGTTTTGTGGCTGAGTGTGAAGCTATGAGAAACATTCGGCATCGGAATCTGATCAAAGTTTTGACTGTTTGTTCTAGCATAGACTTTAAAGGGGTTGATTTCAAGGCTATAGTATATGAGTTCATGCAAAATGGAAACCTAGATGAGTGGCTACATTCAAATGAAGTCCAAGTGGGAGTACAAAGTTTCAGTTTCATCGAGAGACTAAACATAGTGATTGAAGTCGCACATGCAATTGAGTATCTGCATTACCACTGCCAACCAGCAATTGTTCATGGTGATCTCAAGCCAAGCAATATTCTACTTGATCATGAAATGGTTGCTCATGTGGGTGATTTTGGACTAGCAAGATTCCTTATTTCCTCAAAGAAAACAAGCTCACTTGGTATAATAGGGACCATTGGCTATGTTGCTCCAGGTAATATTAGTTTTACCTTGAATTTGTGCAGTGAAAGTTATAGTTAAGCATCTAGGTACTAACTAACGTGATGAATTGATCTCATGTTTCCTGGTTTTCACTGCTAACTATTTCATTCAGAATATGGAATGGGTGGAGAGGCATCTATGGCAGGTGACGTGTTCAGCTTTGGAATTCTTTTGTTGGAGATGATTACAGGGAAGCGACCAATTGATGCAATATTCAAAGATGGACTGAACCTTCACCACTTTGCCAAACTAGCATTGCCAGAACGCGTTATGGACATTGTTGATCCTTCGTTGCTGCAAGAACTTCGAAGTACAGATGAAAACGTTGGGGATGCCCGAAGAACTAGAAGAGAAAGGAGAGTCAGTATCAAGGAGATTCTCATTACCTTTGCAAGAATAGGAGTTATCTGCTCAATGGATTCTCCGCATGATCGAATGGAGATGAAAGATGTGGTTGCAGAATTATGTATTATTAGAGATAAGTTTCTTGGTGATCACTCATAGATTTTGATGAAGGAATCAAAGCAAGCTGTCTTTTTTGGAAAAACTTCGTTTACCTCAATTCTTTTAGCTTTTCTGCTGTGTCTGGTGTGATATATTTCTACTGGAATGTTGGTACCAAACTTTAAGATTTCTACTTGTGTGGGTTGCAAGCTGGGTTCAATGATGATGAATGCAAAGCAGAAGGTTGCACGCAACTGTTTGTTCTTTTCCTTTTCTAATATATATTTGCCGTTTTTCCTATCATGTACGCTACCGTATCGAGTCAACCGTTTGCCCCTTCTCACAGAACTTCTACGTAAGAGTGCTGCTTTTTAAAATTAATTCAAGAAAAAATTTCTATCAGAAGCAGCAGCTCCTTTGGCACTTTTTTTATCTTTTTTCTTTTCTTAAGATCAAAGTTTCTACTTGTTTGATTCCTTATTTCATTTTCTTGCCTGATTCCTTATTTCATTTTTTTATTATAGAAATTTTAGTTAGATATTTTAAATTTGAAACTAAAAATTTGAAGCCCTTTAAAAATTTGAAATTCTGCTAAATAAATTAAATTTTTTTTCTAAGTTTAAATTTACAAAATTTGATTACCTTATTTATTTATTATTTTATTATTTTATTTATTATTTTATTATTTTATTTATTAATGTTACA